TCACATATTTGAAAGTTGCTAAGAGAATAAATCTTAAAAGTTCTTATCACAAGCCTTGGCCCATGTGGCTCAGTAGGTTGGAGTGTCATGGCATACACTGAAAGGTTGTGGGTTTGATTCCTGGTCAGGCCACATACCTAGGTTTTGGATTTGATCTCTTGCTGGGGGCACATACCTGAGGCAACGAATAGACATCTCTCCCCCCCCCCGGGCCCCCCCGCCCTTCTTCTCTCTAATCAATAAACAAACCACACAGACAAAAAAGTATCTTCAGTTGAGAATTTTAAAAAAAAGTTCTCATCACATGAAAAATGTCTATAACTATGCATGATAACATGTTAGCTTGACTTAGTGTGGTGATCATTTTGCAATATATACTAATATTGGACCAGTATATTGTACACCTGAAACTAATATAATGTTGATGTCAATAAAACTAAAACTAAAATTTAAAACATCAATCTTTCTCCATCTCTCCATTCTGATTTCCTCTGGGTTGGCTCTCGGGCAGTCTGTTGACCATGAATAGCAAAGGCAGCCACCAAAAACTCCGGGCTTTCATGTCATCACTCTAGAAACCCAATGGAAACATTTAATCATGGCTGAAATATATAAAATTGAATTTAAATAGGTCAAGAATTGTTGAATAATGACACCTTCATATATTTCAACCTAATCATTGCAGAGAAAGCCCCGAGGCCTAAAGTTTATTGGTTCAGTTTAGATTTCATACCCATTATTAAACCAATCACTGTGGCCACCAGAATGTAATAATCTTATTGGCCAGGTCTGAGTCATATGCCCAACCCATGAGCCATGTGACAAAAGGTGAGAGAAGACTGATTTCTCAAAGGAAATTTAAGTGCCATCTTCAGAAACGGGAGAATAAAAACAAAGGAGGCAAAACGCCAGATGCCCACTGGGCATATAATAGACACCAACTGTGAAAATTTACCATGAAGGTAATGAAGCCTAAACTTCAGGGAACCTCACTTTGCATGAGCTCCTTCTAAGACCATATATCTAATTTTGTTTTTAATTTTTTGGATTATTTATCTTAAAGAAGAGCCCTCCCCCCAACCCCCAATTATATAAGCTTTAGGACCAACAAAACCTGGAACTGCACCTAAAGAACACTCAAAAATATCTGTAAAATTAATAAGTAAATGTTCCCAATAAATTGTACTTCCTCTTGTTTTTAGTGGGAATAAGCCATTTACTAGTTTATTCACTGAATTTTTCACAATAACTTAATCTCTTTGGACACTAACAGAAAATAACTTGATTATGCCCTTCAGCTCTCCCCAATGGCTCAGAATTCAGCCTCTTAATGTGTTTTTCTTTGCTGCTGTCACAGACTCACACAGGTTAAGGTCTTTTTTCATCTTTGCCCTTCCTTGAACTTTACTCCTAGATGAAACCCGCCTCCCTGTATCTCCTTTCATGAGAGGCCAGTCCAGGTTGAGATGGGCATGTCTGGTCCTACTGTGATTTCTTACAGAACCAATTTAAAGAAACCTACCAAGTTGCTCACATTCACTCTAAACTAGTATTCATTTTGGTAAAATTCCAAAACAAAATGAAGTCTCTAAAATTGCCATAGAGAAAACATGAACCATCAGGTGGATGTTATATTGGAGTGAATCTAGGACGTGACTCGGGTCAAAGCCATATATCTATAGAGGACCCATTGTTGGGGTTGTGCCAACATTGGGTCTGGGTAACCAGAAAACATGCTCTCGTTGGAATTAACTGCATTTACCCCTCTATTTGGCAGTCAGACAGCACTAGGAATGTAAATTCATGCTGTTCTGAATGTGGGGGAAGGTGAGGGAACTGAGCTTGCCTGCTGCTATTCTGATTACAGCATTTGTCCCTGAGAGAGACAGCTCTGGGATGGATGCTATTTTTCTCCCTTCTCAAGAAAATGGCTTGGGCTGCACATTGGGGAAGGCCAAGGTGGGCACCTACAAACAATCTTTCTGCTTAATCCCCTGCGGGTTTCCAAATCTGTAGTCCTGCAGATGTGGCACCGAGTTTGACCTATTTATCCCCTCCCTCCACCTCCTGTAAGAACTATGGCACAGAAACAGGGCGGTGCAATTGTGTTTTGGGATTTTTTTTCCTTTTCTTTTAATTTGTTGAAACTGTCTCTAGGCAGAAGGGACCTGAGGAGGAGAGGTAGAAACCAGATGGTTGTAGCTGGCGTAGAAACCTACTACTGGGGAGCTTTGAGATGCTCAGATCTAGTGACAGTCACTATTTCCCTGCAGGGAAAGGGGATGAAATACAGTGATGCCAAAAGAGGTCTAGAAGCTTGACCTCCAGTGTTCTGTTTTCTCTACCCCATGTCCACACACATGGAAAATGCAGCCCCTTTTCCTTTAACTCTCCAAAGTATCACCAACCTTGGACTAAGCAGGCTTTACTTTGGGGGGGGGGGGGAGTTAGTAGAAAGAAAGAGGGTTTATGTCACAGGGCTTAAATAATTTACAAATGATTATTATCTCTTCTTCCTTAAAGTCTCTTAGCTTCCCTATACCTTTTCCTCAGCATCCCAACCACTCACTAAACTCAAGCAAATTCCACCAAATCACCTAATGTGTTCCTCAGCCTCTCCTCTCTATAAACAGGAAGTAGAAATAAAATTGAGACCAAGGGGAAGAGAAACAGAGTGTTGACTAAGAGTTAACCTATTTTATCTTCCCATACTTGGGGAGATTTGGCCAGCTGAAGAGCCCTTCATCCTGGTCCATCTAAACACCTGGAGGACTGCAGCACACCAAGGTCTGGGGTGGGAGGTGATACCGCCCTCCCCAACTCTGTGTTAGGGAAAACGGACTCAATCTTTTGTGAAATAATGTACAAACACATCTGAGAACCCATCTGATTTCTACCTACTAGGTTTCTTCCTCCCAAGCAAACATATATGGTATCTTTTTCAACACTACTTCAATTTCCAACACCAATGAAATGCCCTACAATTCCATTCAATTCAATTCAGACACTAACACTCCAGACTCCACAGGTTTAAGGGCTCAGTCCCACAAGGCTGTCTTCACTTCACAGACCAATTACAAGTATCACGTCCCCGGTTACCCACACTTGTATCCGACCTGGCTGCAAATTCGGGGATTCCCGCATACCCTCCTCATATATTTGATAATTTGCTAGAATGACTCACAGAACTTGGGAAAGTGCTTTCTTTGTCTATTATTATAAAGAATACAACTCAGGAATATCCAAAGGGAAGAGATGCAGAGCGCAAGGTATGGGAAGGGAGACGCAGTTTCCATGCCCTGTCTGAGCAAGCCAACCTCCTAGGAACTCCATGTCTTCAACCCAGAAGCTCCCCAAACCCATCCATTAGGTTTTATGAAGATTTCATTATGGCTTTTCATGATTAAATCAATCCCCAGCCCCTCTGTCCTCCCCAGAAGTTTGGGGGTTGAGCTGAAAGTTCTAGACCTCAAATCAAGGCTTGGTCTTTCTGGGGGACCCGAGGCTTACCACCCTGGTCACTCCTGAAAGTCCAAAGGTTTTAGGAGCTCTGTGTCAGGAGCTGGGCACAAAGACCAAGTATTTTTCTTATTATACCATGCCACCCCCATTATGTTTACGTGGCTTGGAAAACAAACAAACAAAACACCACACACAAAAATTCTAACACCTCCTTAGGGTGCTAGCTTCCTAGCTACCTCTGGCTCTCCCTAGCTGTGTCCTCTCCATATCCCGCTATGAGATGAGACTGACCAGGAACCTTGATTAGTTCTTCATTAGGCTGTTCTACACATAATAAGTTACCCTGTGGCAAACCTCTTTATCTGACCCCTCCAAATAAGCCATTCACAGCAGTCAGCATTCTCAGAACGCTGGCACCCTCTCTTGCCGCTGAAGAACCTTGGGCTGTGCGTGGTAAGGGTGGACTTAAATGGTCCCGGAACTCACTCCCACCTACTCTCATACAGGCATTTTGGGCCGACTCCATAGCCCCTGGGTCACTGATGTCCCATAAAGGAGAAGAGGGTCCCCCTGAGTGGCCAGGGAGACCTGCTTGCTCAAGTCTCTATTGGGAAACTCTCAGAGCTGGGGATCTGGAGACTGAAACGCAAAGCCAAAAATTTTTCTAATTGAAACGGGGTGGGATGAGGACCAATGCGACTGATGGCCTCAGTGCATTCTGCCCTGCTGGCTTCCTGACCCCCTCCTCGGAGGAAAAGCAAAAACACCACCTCAATAGAACTCAGGGAAACAAGGCTTTCCTCTTGGGTTACCCAGTCATCTTCCTTTTGAAGCAGAAACCTCCCTCCCTCCTAGGTAATCTTTGGCCCTCAGGCAGCCTCAGCTAGCGAGGCCTCAAGCCCACACTAGTTGATCTGAAATCCCTGTTTAGGTCCCAGCATGTGACAACGTGCTCCACTCTGATGACACGTTTGGTTTCTAATAATAGAGCAGATGAAGTAATATTGCAATTGATGTTCCCGGGGATTTGATTGGATAAGTGCATAAACTGTGGAGGGGGAAGAGGGTTGTGTGGACGGATCACATTCGTATCCCGGCCCTATCAATGTGCGGGGCCGTGGAGGACGTCAGCGGGCCTGTTCCCTGCGTCCGCCAGTCCCGCCACGGATTCACTTGGGATCCGCAAACAGATGAGCCGGTGGAGACGAGGGATCAAGGCGGCCGCTTAGAGCCAATTGCCTGCTTCAGGGACTGCCAGCCCTTCCAGGCCTAGCAACAGGGGCGGGAGGGGTACGAGGAACCCAGCTTCTCTGCGGGAAGACACTGAGGGGCGCGCGGCACCCCCCACCCACCTCCCCACC